GTAAAAGCAATAGTTGTACGTGTTTAGCCTGCTGTACCGCGAATACTGCTGCCGCTGCTCCTGCTTCCGGTTCGTTTTGCTGCGAGGTAGGTTCTAACACTGTTCGCCAACCGCCGCAAGCTGGCCGGCAAATAAGACCAGCAAAGCCAGCTATTGGAGTCGACTTGCCCACTAGCAAAACAGTAGCTTCTAATGCCGACGACACCCCAGTTTCAGAATCATGCACAGGCGAGAATTTGTCATCAGCACCAAGTACTGATGGCCAAGCACTGCCGCTTTCTGATTTTCAGCACACTCGTCACAATCACAACCATCATAATCATCAACACCCGCACAACCATCACAATTATCTCCATCAGCATCAACACCAGCATCATCATCATCGCCTTCACCACCAGCAGCTTCAGCCTCCACTGTCTTCAACTCGCCAGGACCCGCATCAAATTATTTTGTCGAGCAGCCGACCGAGCTACTTACATCCTTCAGGTACACATATTCATGCACATTCGCATCAATCACAGCCTCAACAGCACCAACTTAATCTCCATCGCTCCCCATCCAACCATGGTTCCGTCTCCCATACTCAGCTGCAATTGCAGTCGCATAGCCAAAGTCAGATTCACAGTCATCACTCCCAAATTCAGCATCAACACCATCATTCCCACCCAGTGGTTGGACAACAACAACAGAAGGGTTATGACTTTCACCTCTCGAATCCTCTCATGCCCCTACAGACCGACTCTCCCGGCTCCCAACATCATGCCTACCATAACACTTACCCCGAAACACCTGTAGTTGTGTCACGTCAGGCTCCTCCGCATCCACCGCCGCCTCCACCACATAGGATAACGACCAATATACACGCTGCTGGAATCCGAGATCATCTATTAGGTACCAGCAAAACTACGCAGGTTACCGAGCAGATGCACATTTACGATGTCGGTAAGCAAATCGTCTTGGTGACTGTTTCACTTATAAATTAATTTTAGATAATTACTTCTGCTTTATCACACTATTGTGAATTAAAATTCTTGACCTATTTCACATAATCAGTGTATAAACTTCATTGCAATAGGTCCATGCTGAGTTCATCTGTTAACAGACTGATTTACTTGTGTTAATTCTCACCTGACAAATTAAAGAGGAATCTTAATTTACTAGCTATTTATTGATATTACTCGTTAAGCAGTGCTGGGTTGAACTTAGTATACTCCCTTTTTTTCTAATGCAAGTGTTTGCTTTATTAAACTGTGCGTAACAAATTCATATCCATAATGTTTCTGACTTGCTCGCTTCGTACCTCCATCCGATTTGACCCTTCGATTTTGTCTCGTTCCCTTCCCATAGTTATTTCATTATTAGTTATCTCCTAATAATAATACTTTTATTTAATTTAATCCTATGCTTTCATGAACGACTTTTGGCAACCTAGTTAGCCAGTTACCACAACCACAAAAATTCTTCGTCTAATTCTTGTTAAAGACATTTATTTCGCTGTGCATTTCATTTAGCTTATATTAAATCTTCTAATAGCCATTATTTTAATAAGCCATTGAGCCCAGTCGGATGATTAGGAAAGTGGTGATTATGGTGACTACAGCCAGATGGTAATTCTTCACGATTGTTTAACTATTCAATTCAAACTCCTTCATTGGCTTTACATGAGAGGAAGTCAATCACCTACTTTTATGCTGGTCTGACTTTTTGTTTGTCCTTACCCTAAAAAAGGTTCATTTGCTTCCTCTGGATGATTTTATTGATATAGGCTTTTTCAGAGCATCTAGGCCTCATCACATTTTGTTGTGTTAAATCCAACCCCTATTTCAGGCATGCTCCTCCATCCTAAGATCGCACGATCGATACCTTGGCTTTGTCCTCTTAAATTACAGCCCTCATTGCCTCCAACTCTGCTATTCCTTATTGATAAACCGTTGACTGCAGCTTTTTTGTAAAATTTTTGATACCATTGTTCATGTAGTCGTAATCTCTTTTATATGTATTGAGAACTTTAATCACACTTTGGCTTTATTGTTTGCTGTTTTTCTGTAATGTTACCTAATCAGATACGATTTACTTTTATTCTAGACTGTCATATATTTTCTTGTTAATACTAACATAGCTTAGCCTTTTGATTATGATATTTACTTTTAAAAAATAGTTCAATTCAAAAAACTTTTACATGGCCTATTCAGTTGATTTTAATTTCTCACATTTTACTGTTCAACTTAAAATGGAACATTTGAAGTCTTATTTCTGTTGACTCTGTGCCAGCTTTTTTGCGAACTTTTCACTAAATGAGGTGTGTTATCTAAATATGTTTTCTTGCTTTTATCCATTCTTTATTCTCAGGCTCTAATGGGGTGTGTTCCAGCAAGCCTTTATCTTCGAATACATCTATAGGCCTCTCTTTATCACACTGTCAATCATTGCCACGGCATAATGGACCTTATCCCGGATTAGAGACGGATTCATCCTCATGCCCCTGCTGCTCTGGTTTTGAAGCTTGCTCAGCTGGCATAGATGAAGTTGTCACCCCTTCTAGTGGCCCTGCTCCAATCACCGTTAGCACTAGCAGCATTAATGCTCTTTCTGTTAGTCAAGACTCTGGTACCTGTTGCTCCTGCTGCTGTTGCTGTTCTGCTGAAGCGTGTTGTCTACCTCTTACTGGGCCAAAGGCCGATCCGTCTGCAACTCTAGTTTGCAGCGCGGGCTGCGGCTCCGGCTCCGGGCTTTCACTTCCTGGGCCTTCTATTGCCGGCTTTCCTGATGTCACCAGTGCCCCCGGGACTATGCCTTCAACCCAATTGTCTGGATACGGCAGCCTGGCCAACGCTCTTATTGGAATGAATAACTCGATATTTACGACCACAGCATGTGCCAGCACAAGGCACAGTACAGCCGGAGCCACTACTACAGCTGATAGTGGTCTTTCTACAACTGTTGCGGGACACCAGAGTCTCCTAGTTCGACCTGGAAGTATCTTGGCAGATAGATACCAAATTATCGCCTTAATTGGTCGAGGTACCTTTGGACAGGTATATGATCTAGAAATACCTCACTTGCTAAAGATAAATTACCCATTCAGTCTACCTTAGGTTATTATTCTTTATTTGCTTTTTTTCTAATATTATCTTTTTTGAGAGTAGGCTTCTATATTCGCCAACAGAAGACTTATATTTACGCTAATAAAACAGGGCTTTTTGATTGAGCTTGAGCATTTAGTAATAATAAATAAATCTGCTTTGACTATTATTCTCAATAATGTTAGCTATCTGGCAGAAAAAAGTAGTTGCTACCTTCGGTCTTTCAATTTTGATATTCTGTTTTTAAGCTTAAACAAATATTTCTAGTATTTGGCTGGTATCAAACTTATATACGTCCTCATTTTGCTAGATGGGCGTATTGGTCCTCAATTGATTAATTTGAATCGTTTTCATATTCCCAAGTAAATTTATCATTTTTATGATTTTTTTATTTTTCAACACCTTTATTGTCTTTTCATTATTTTGGACAATTTACTCCCCACTTCATATCAATGCTTCCAGAAGAAATTTGAGTGGACCCTAGTCCAGGTTTTTAGAAGTCCTGTAGGGAGC